ATTGATATACACAGTAAAGCAGTATATAATACAATAGTAAGGCATATATTTGGTGAAATTTGATATGTTGTGAAAAAATGCAGTAAAACAGAAGTTTATAAAAATAATTAGTAAATGTTACAGTGTTGGTGTTAAAACACAATATATTATGATATCCAAGTAATAAACCAGTACTGAGTAACAATGAAATAACATGCCATATGGTATTTATGTATTCGATTACACTGATTATGTTTTACAGTTTAATACTTTGTCATTATAAGGAATATGAAATAATTCCCAAATTATGCTTCAAAAAGCAGCGATAAAGCTTTCAACTTTTTAAATATTTTTGACAGACTCACTCCAAAACTAAGATCTAGAAAGTAAAACAAACAAAACAAAACCCTGATGAAAACAACCGTGCAATCCATTTTTCCTCCATTTTTTTTTTCTGAAGAGAAGGTTTAACGTATAAGGGGAAAAAAAAAAAAGAAACCCATCTCTCTCTCAGATCTCAATTTAAACCTTCTGATAAAAAAAGACCATGAGAAATACAGAGGGTTCCTACTACAATAAAGTGTTAAAAAAGCTTTTTATTAGGAAAGCAGAGGTTTGGGGAGGATTGTACTTTTTTTGTGTGTGTAAATGATTATCATTGTTGGTATTATTTAAACAATGAGACCTGGTCACACAATGGACACGTGGTGATGATGTAACATTATCCGTACGTAATTGTCAGGAACACCACAAAACCAAAGTGAGGTAGAAATAGCATGACTAGCCATGTTCAATGTTAACTAGCATTCAAAATAAAATCTTTCCCAAGTTTAATTACACTTCATACAAGAAGAGGTAACAGATTTTTTTACTCTTGCAATATAAAGTCAGGTGGTGTGTTTCTACATATTCTAAGGTAAAATTAAAAGCTGGTTAAGAAAATGAAGTGGTAAAGCTTTTGCTGACAGAACTTCATACCCAAACCTATCTCTCACGAGCTGCGGTCAAGCTGGCTAATCTGTTCCGCTATCAGTTCCTCTTTTTCTCATGTTATTGTTAATTCTACGGGATTACTTGTGGGGAGAAATGGGGAAGGAGAAAGGACCAGGGCCTTGTTTCGATGATAAATATCTCATGGAACAGTGTGGCTACCTTCACTTGATCACCATATACATGCAAGAACAGCAATAACTCTTCTACAGCCTTTCCCAAAGGTTGCTCACAGCGTTACAGCTCCTTGGGACCGGCTGCAGTAGCAGGCTGAGACACACGTCGCGGAAAGCTCTGGTTTTATTTTCCAGAGGATCGAGGAGCTTCATACTGATTAAGAGTACTGGGAGCTGGACAAGGAAAGATGCTCTGTGAGTAACCTACTCGTGCTTCGGGTCCAGAGGGAACTTCTCCCTTTCTTCTCTCCTCTGCAGCAAAGGTGACGTGAGCGGTGGCAGCGGGTGGGGGAGAGCTGCACCCAACTCCCGCTGAAGCACGGGCTGCTGGCCACAGCCAGCGGGGCACCAGACACCCAGGTCCAAAGGTTTAATCCGGTAAGGCAATTTCTATGTTCCTTTACTAATAGCATTCAGGAATTTAATCATCAGACAAAATGCTGGCTCATAGGAGAGCCAATAAATTCTTTCCTTTCCTTCTTTCTTCTGGGGTTTTTACTTTTATTTTTTTCATTAATTTTTTGCAGGCTCTGTCATGTAATGTGCTCTTTCATTTAATTATTGCAAACTGGCTGTGTGATTAATGTAATTCTTAATTTTACTGGAAAGAGGTGACATAACTACCTTCACTGGAAGTTCAGGAGTCTTTTTTTTTAAGCCAGCCCTAGTGAGACAAAAGCAATGAGAAACCCAAGTTGTTCATTTTGGTGTCGCTGCAGGAAATACTTTTTCTTTTTTTCCTTTTTGATAGGCAAGGAAAAGAACACAGAACATGAATCTCTCAGATGCAGTTACAGAGCTGAAATGATACTAAACAAATGCACTGCCTCAGTATTTTTTTTGTGTTTTTTAAAGGGGGTTTCTATAAACAATTATTTTTATAAAGCACACTTTAGTTTACAATCTTTCATTATAACTGTTATAAATTTTTTTTAAACAACCCGAAATGCGTTCCATATAAAGAAATGGCAAGTTATTTAGCTATCAAGATTTTACATGTAGTTTTCTTATAATTTTTGTACAATTGCATAGACGTGTAAAACCTGCCATTGTTAACAAAACAGTAACAGACTTAGGAAACTACTGAAATCTACAGTATAGTACCACTACCCTTCACAAAAATATAGATTTTTTTTTTTTCTTGTAAACTCTTACAGTCTAATCCTCTTTGTAGTATGAATATTATAAAAACCATGCGGAACGCCTGAAGTTGTAAAACACATCTTGCTATTCTAACACCTTGTCGTCGGTCATCACTGTCACTAAGGTTTCCATCGCTCTTCCCAAGTCGTCTGCCATGTGGAAAAGGCTCCCTACATTGTGGCCTGAAAAAGAAAGTCAAAGAAGAGGAAATGAAATGAAGAAGACATGGCAGCAGATTGGAGGGAACACTTTAAGAAAGAGGCTGAGCACAGATGCACCACTCTCCATGTGCCACTCACCACCATCCCCAGTGAAATACACTGGAGATTACTCTTTCCAAAAGTCTCCTGGATGAGTATAATACATTGTTGTCAGCAAAGGTTGACAGTTTGGTAGAACACTTAACAGCAATTCTGGCTTGAATGGCTATGGTGGTAAACTATGTTGACAATAAGCCAGCATGTTTGTGTTTAAAAAAAAAAAACCCTGGTAGCAATGAAGCGGCATCATTACAAACGTTCACCAAAAGCAACGATTAAATCCATTGACATCATGGAAAAGTTTCCAACTGGTTCTGCAAGTGTTTGACCATTCAATGTTCTATCAAGGAGAAAAACAGAAACAAACAGATCAGCAGATCAGATTAAGTAAATCACTAAGCTCAAGAGGTCCCAGCAGGATACCTGCATGGATGGCTAAAACGATGACCAAACTAAATGGCTGCAGTTTATTCAATCATTTTTAAAATACCCTTCGCTTCTCAAACAGCAGTCCAGCAGAAACAAATATGCCACAATTACCAAGTAACTATACAGTGTTTCACTTGTAACCACTGTGAAGTCCTGAGATGGTGTAACCACAACATGTGGACCTCCTAACAAAGAAGTGATGAACAAACGCTGTTTATTCAGTACTGAGTACAGTTCTGGAGATGAAATCTGTAACTTCTCACACTCATTTTACCACCGCTGCAAATGAAAAGTAAAGGTAGCAATGCTGATCAGCAGCATGAAATGGCTTCAACACAATTAAGAGACTAAGCAGACTTGAAGGTAGGGAGATTAAATTGCCAAAAGTTGCCATTTTAGGCCCTTGGCATATCCTGCCCGGAGTCCAGCTGCTGTTCAGAAGAGTGTGGGTCTCCTGCAAGTCCTGTGTCAGATTTGCAGCACTCTATGACTGTCTCAAATACCCTCTGACATCTCAAATGACAGAGACATCACGATTTAAACAGCTGAATACCATCTGGAGTCTCCCTTCTGAAAAAATATGACTGAAGAGGGAGTATGACAGAGATCTAGACACCCTACAAGATGAGCATCCAATCGAGGACTCCAGATTTCTTGCAAGGACAAGGAGGAACGAGGAGACAGAAGTTTTAAAGCAAGCAGAAGGAAATTATACTCCGCACAGCACATAACTGTATTACTAAACTCATCACCACAGGCTGACGTTGAGGCCAAACACATAAATGAGTTAAAAAAGGAGTTAGAAAATAATCACTGAAGAAAGATTTATTTAGATGCAAAGAAGTGCATATGACCTCCAACTCAAGAAGTCCCCAAGCTGCAGAGTGCCAGCAACTCCAAGTATATAACAGGGAAAGTATTACTCAATAAAATTATACGTTGCTATGGCCTGAGGAGTTTGATTTATTCCCCGAAAGTACTTGCAATGCAGTATCTGTCTGGAAAAACATGGGACGTACAACACCATCTGCCCACAACCCTGCTTCCCAGGAACGCTCTGCATTAGCCTGGATGCAGAGTCCTCGCCATGGTCCTTGAGGAAGGAGCATCCAAATGAAGAAAGGACATGACCAGGGTACCCAGGATGCCCCTTTCATGCTGTCCCTACCTGTAAAGCACCACTGACCACCTACACGGTGGGTGTCCCTCCTGACACAACTGTCTTCTCTAACAGGAATGAACCTTCCTTGTGGGGCAAAACAAACTCACCATCCTCTTCCAAATGTTCAAATATTATGGTAGTCACATACTGTTGACATTTTTAAAGTACATAGGAGCTTGGAGTGACGTTAGTTAATATTCATCAGCATTTATGGAATAGCAAAAAAATGACCAGAAAAATACCCGGAGAAGTTTGTTTCCTCTGGAGAACTATTAACCACCTTTTACATTCAAATACTAAAGTTTTGCTTTGTTCTGTTTTTTAAATGTAGCATTCATTACACAAAACTATGCCATATCTAAATGATACTCAACAAGCTGCGCATTCGATAGTGAGCTGTGCTGTGCGTGACACAGTTTGCCAGGTATCAATATAAAGAAATACTTGGTTCTAATCTGGTGACATTTTGCTAATTGCACTAATGCACAGAGAAATAGATGCATCAAACAGCAATTTCATCCATAAACCATCAATGTGTGGTCATCCTATTCATCCTAAGCAAAAACTTGTAATTTACTCATCATCACTTCAAGTTAACAGAGTATGAAAAATTCCAGCCAAGTTTTGGTCAGAACATAGTTTACTGTAAAGTAACCGTATGCTACCACATTTATTTTTGATGTAAGGGATAATCTCTTTTACTGGCACCATCCAGGGTGAGATCAATCCAGCAAATTACACCATGGAAAGTGAAAATCTGATGAAGTCATATGAAAGCAAGAACATGTATTAGATGGGAGATGTTTCCATAAACAGAAAGGTAACTGTCACAGGTTTGCTCCACTTCCCTGAAACTCTGACATGCTCAGGTACATTTGTAGCATGTGCTATCAAGGCTTTATGGTAACAAATCTGGTATAACTGGAGTGACCTGCAGCAACTCCACAAACATCCTGACCTTGCAAACTACTTTCAAGAAATCTCTAGGCCTTAAATACTCTTTTTCTTCCTCATCTGCAGCAACCTACAGACACGAGATAGGGCAGTGGTGAGAGCCATAACTGCATAGCCAGGCATGAGAAGCACCATCTCTTGTTCAGATTTTTTGAGATCTGTTGTTTCTACAAACAACTACGGGATTGCAAGCTCTTCAGGAACTCCAACACCACTCATGCCCAGCTTGGGAAGAGCAATTACCCTTCCATGGATTTAGAGCAACCCAAACTGATAAACTCCGTCTTCAGAAAAAATCAGTATTTGTTAATACCATTTTGTTCTGTCAGATACAGAGCTGTAAAGGTAACAAAGGCATGCTGGTTTTATAGAAATAATCTATGTCTAGAAAGGATAACTTCAATCAAAAATACAGAAAAAAAGGCTTTCAGAAGTACGCCACAGTAGGTACAAACTACTAAACTCTTCAGGCAACTAAAACACGGGCCAAGAAGACCTTATGCATCCAGGGATCCCTAGGTATTCTTTTAATGCCCAACAATTGCAGGGATGTCTGATAGTCTTTTTTTCTTTTCTCTGTTAATTGCTGACATATTTTTGAATTAATCATGCTTTGAATCCGATCTCCCTCCACAAAAGCTGCACAGTGGCAGGCTGGGGTGATTAAGGAGATAGGACTCCCTCTCCCCCACACCATCCACGCTACCTCTCCAGCACAGCTCTTAATTTCCTCTGCAGAAAAGCTGAACGACCATGTGAGCCATTGGAGTTTACAGCTCAGAGCATGACCATAATACAATGCTGATTGCAGTTTATGTTAATAGTTGGACTGTAAAGTGGAACAGTTTGGGGACCACAGTCTCTGGAACAGTCATGGGATGGGAGGACATGACAGAAGAACGGGCAGTATAGCTGCACTCCAGCCACTCAATGGGAGAGCCCTCGGTTGGGCAACAATGCACTGCCAGCAGGTTTTTTGCCCCTCTTGCAGGTGGGAATAACAGCTAGGTCAATCAAGACTGCAAATAGTGGAGAACTACATGTGCAATAATTTCCTGGTACTGTATGTGCAATGAATGCACCCTCTTCTATAATGCCTCTTACCTAAATAAGAGCTTAAATTTGCTGTCTGTTTCTGTATAGCTCTGCTGCTTCTATTGAATACTGCTTACTTGCCCTCTCTAAGACTGAAACATAAGACATATTGACATTTTTAATAAAGCAGCAGATAAGAAATACTGTCCTAAACCCAGAAAAAATATAAATCATAGCTTTCCACTCATTATTATTCATATTTTAAAGTAATGCCACCAAAGAAGGCAATAATTCCATTCCTCTTTAAAAAAAAAAAACCAAAAAACAAACCCCAATCAACCAAACAAAAAAACCACCAAAAAAACAAAACCCCAACAACAAACTTTAAAGCTGAAAAGGTTTTCTCCATGCTTGGGGCACTGAAAGGTTGAAAGATGCTACCATGTAAGGAAAAAACTAGCACACACTTTAAAATATGGCAATAAAGCTCAAAATGGACATGGACAGTATTAATTTAGACTTGAAATGGAGGGAATATAAAACAGAGGTGCATTTGCTTTGAAAGCAGAAGACACCTATTTCTGCAGACACTAACTACACCACTTCTGGTGACACACAGAATGATGCGTTTCACATCTGCTCAATTTGCCTTAGAGTCTCTATTGGATTTAAGGGCCTTGGGTGAGGGCGCAGTAACTGAATATTCATCTTACACTACAGCTTGTCAGAGAAACAAATGTGGAGCATTCCAACTTGGAAGAGTGGATAGGAAGGAAACTAAGAAACCTCAACACAATGCACTGCCTTTTTTAGCAGCACAGATTTCTAACCCTCCCCTGACAAAAGAAAAATCCTTCCTGTTGGTGGTTTAGATTTTGATACCCTTATTCATATCGAATACAAAATCCATGGGATTACACACAAAGACAAAACCTAATGTGAACAATGGGATCAAACCCTGGCTGAGTGGGTTTAAAAACGCATGATCTGCCTTTGTGCAAATGGATTCATACATAAAACAAAAGCTGGTCTATACCTTAGCTCACACACTTCAAAAGCAGGCAGAAAATAATGTTTTATATTCAGCTCTGCAAGTTACCACCCCCTCCTCTGGAACTGTCAACGAGCACAAATACAACTGGAGAGTGGCGAGTGATTCATTGAAGTAAACTTTTTAAGGGTTAAGCTGCTGGAATCTGATCAGGTAGGACATGCCCATTTTCTCTTTCTTCTTTTTTTTTTTTTTTTTTTTTTTAAATTAACTGTATCAAATATGCCCCCAGCAGCAGAACTTTTTTCTGAATAATATGCATAAATATGAATGAAGACAGTGGAAATCAAC